CGGTTTTGAAGGGTAAGTGTGTTGGTAAAATTACAGGCACATGGGACTTGTCAACTTATGTCTCAGGGTGACGGGCGCAGTGGCAGTGTCACTCAGAAGCTGTAAGTGGCACTGCAACTGTTATGGACAGGCGTGTTGCTTACCACCAGGTCCACAACTTGTCCATCCCGTCACTTAATATCATTAAAAAAAATATTTCTGTAGGCAAAAAAACAAAAAGAACTGGAAAGTACGCTTGCACCTTAGAATGAAAATATATAAATTGGAAAAATAAATTGTGTGTTTAGGACCCATGCATGACGGAATTGGTTCTGGTCTGGTTCCTTTGCCCTGGTTCTCATTGTATGGGGAATTCTCTAGTTTGATACCTATTAATTGGTGTGACTGTTTGGTACACTATAAAAAAATTGTTATCAATAAATAGAACATACATACATAGAGCATCAATTAACAATGGCTTAAAAAATGTTAAATAAAATTCCTCTTATATACGATTATTCACTAGCTTTTATAAACTACTCGATTACTTGAGCGATATTGTTTGCTAAGTGATGAAATTATGAGATTTTATTACAAGTAGTACTTTAATTTAACTTTTTCGAACACTGAAAACAATTTAAGTACCATTTTGAATATTACATCACGTTAGTACATCGACTAATGTGTATTTATTTGATTTGGTGGAATTTAGGAAATACACTTTCGAGATCTTTAACAGAAAATATTTTCTAGGTCTTCTTTAGCCAATAGAGAAGACAGAATCAACATTTTAACACGCTCATTTATTCTGATTAATTTATTCTTGTTGCTTTTGCTCCCGCTTTTTACAGAAATCCTGAATCTACTTAACGTGAACACCGAGATCGATCTTACCCTACGTTTCTATTCACGTTCGCTCTATAAATTTTCACCGTTGCTATTATCCATCCTTTCCGCATGACCAAACTATGAAATCAATTCCTTTTATATAGAGGTATAGTTAATGTAAGTTAGATAACAATGGATGCAGATTTAATCTCATTTTTAAATTTAATTTTAAAAGACCACACTATTCAAAGCATACTGTCAAGGCTTTTACACAAACTGCCTGTGGCTTAACACTACTCAGAAATCGATTAGTGCACTCAGGAACCAGAATATTTTATTATCAAAGAAAGAACTGCCACCTTGCCTATTTCAGCCGCCAAACGTTGATGTGAGCATTACTATTGATTTTGAAATGTAAGGGTAAGATTATAGGCACATGGGACTTATTAATTTATGTCTAAGGGTGACGGGAGATTAAATCCTAGATTTGGTTTAAAACACTACACTACCCGTGTCCGACAACATCTCCTTTGTCTCAGTGCGAATGGGCTGAAGTCGTTAATTTCTTTTTTTGCATACAAAAATCCATGAAAATGTTATGAAAATGGAAGTTTTCTTTTTCCTCAAACGCACAGTACGGAATTATTTAAATTGAAAATGCATATTACTCTGCCCGCATACTTAGTGATAGAAATAAAATTTTAGTTTTATTCAAGTTACAAGCATCGCCACCGCCGTGATCTGGCCGCTGCAGTTAATTATACAGGCACTAATTCTTATACATATTTTTTAGTAGCAGGAGAGCTCCTTGTGAAAGAATTCGTCTCGGTTTTGAAGGCTAAGGGTGCTGGTGAAATTACAAGCACATGGGAGTTGTCAACTTATCTCTCATAGTGACGGGCGCAGTTGGAGGGTTGTTTCCTTATTTTATTGTTTTTCATTTTTTTAGTTCAGGCCACATGATCTATGTAATATATACCTTAAGAACTAACGTACAATATAATAAAATACTATTTTTAAGCTCTACCAGTGCCCTTTCAAATCTTTGCCATTTAAATATCTGAGTGGCACTGTAACTGTTATAGACAGTTGTGTCGCTTACCACCAGGTGCGCGAATTGTGCATGCCGTTATTTGGTATCACAAAAAATATACAAGAAGCATGTGATACAATCATTGTTTATTTTCATGATAAGAATTTCATTGAAAGAGGTATGGTAGTTTCTTGCATAATTAACATACAATATGCCTATATATAAAATAATACACATAATATCTCGTATTTTAGAAATGAATGGTGCACGTAAGACTTTTCACTTAATTCAAAAAAATCAACAAAATGAGTTTATTTATTATAATTATTTATTATAATTTTGATTTTTTTATTTATTATATTAACCGTGAAACGAATTTGATAATATTTTTTCGTCAGTTATTTGGGAATTGATCCAATAAAGCGCAATCGGCATTGAGTCATAAAAAGTGAAGCGTTTGCACGTTGTACGTTGCACTCCGCATTTACACGGATTATACGTCACGCCATTTGCGAAAAGTGACGGCTTAGCGAGTGAGCCGTTGTTGTTCCGAAAAGCACTTTTTTCCATCCTCTAAGGAAAATCATCATAATTTTTTTTTCAAAAATGGTTCGCGCCTATGGAACTGACAGTCGCGGGTGCACCGGGAGACACGGAATTTCCAACCTAAAAGTTCATTCAAAAAGGTCATTCAAAGAACGAATTAAACAAACGAGCGCTGAGTATCAGGCTATTTTTAAAGACATTTTTAAGGTTCAAATTTTCAAAACATCATTTGTATAAAGTTTAAACTTCTTCAATAAATATTGTTAACGAGTTATCAACGTTATTATTGAAGAGTTCCTGCCAATTCGAATGAATATACTCAACACAAATGCTTACTTTAGTACTTAATGGCCGTTCTTTCCTAATTAAATCGACATAATCTTGATTATTGGCCACCACATTTTGCATGACCGGTGAAAATTAAAGGCTTCGGCGTTAGGTCAAATGACAATAAAAAAGTATCAGGAAAAAAGTATCTACCCTTGTAGGAACTGTATAAATTATGATAAATATTTAAATAAGCATACCCGTTTCGGGTAGTAAAGCTGAACGTATCGTCATTATTTGTCAGGACTAGCAAGATCATTAAACCCTTAGTAATTTAAGAGTAGCAAATTTAAGAAAGAAAATGTCACAATTTTAATTCTTATTTTACGTAGTCCTTAAAAGTTGAGATTTTGTTTTGGGTCAGTTTCATTCTGAAAGTGCGATATGGTAAATATTGTCCAGCCACACAAATGTCGTTTAAGTAGCTACAGAAAATAGAATATTGCTATTTTGTATGGAAGACTTTACAAGCCTTTGAGAAGAGTTTAAAACAATGGTTGATTGAAATTCAGTTTTAGAACAAAACAATCAAATTACAAGCTTATCATCTCTTAATTTAGGACAAAATAATATGGCTTCTTACCAAGTTTCGTATTAAATAACAATTTCATTGGGTAAAGTTAGAAACTTGGCGACAGCTCGCCTCTGAATCTCACGATTTGTCTCAAAACGCTATCGATTAATCAAATTCAAGAGTTTGTGAATTTGCAAATGCTACCACTTTCCAGTCCCTTCAATTACGCTTTTGCACTTTTTGAATATTACCAATTGGTAACCTTACCAGTTTAAGTCCGTGTTTCAACACTGTGTTTGTAATTGTAAAATGTAATTGTTAAGGGAGGCATGTAATTTTAAGGCGGGCAATAATTCTAGCATTAAGCATGTAATTAATAATCTCAGTACAGAGTACTAAAAAAACCGACCTCAAAAGTACGTGGAATTACGTCTATTTGCTAAGTTTTATTGAAATATCCCCTAGTTCGCCACTATACAGGACTTGACACTGCAGAACAGGTTCTCACTACGAAGCGACTCAAAGTATATTGAGAGAAAAACGCCTTGAATTGAAGAAATAGTAAAATCAAGCATTAAAGTAATTGCTCCTAAATTAAAGCGCTATTTATAAAAATGAATCTTCATGCGTGAACAGCCACCCTTCGAGGTGGATGATTTTCTTCAAAATGAAATGGGACCACTATGGAAGTACTCCCTTTCCAACAAAAAAAGAATCATGAAAATCGGTTCACAAATCCGCCGTTCACAAACGCCGGAGTTATCGCGTAACAGACATACAAAAAAAAAAATAAGAAAAAAGAAAAGAACATACAGTCGAATTGAGAACCTCCTCCTTTTTGGAAGTCGGTTAAAAATAAACAAAGTTTGTTGTTTAGAAAAACAACAAACTTTGTTTTTTTTTAATACTTGTAAAATAAGGTTGAAAACGCCACTAACGTGCCTATTTATTTAGGATAAAATTTGAATCAAATAGCAACATATTCGTAGTAACCAACATTTATTTTGTTAACATTTTCACAACTCATATTATACAGGGTGACAGATTGAATGAGACAAATATTTAAAGAGGCGAATGTGTAGCTGATACCCATACCGAATAAGTAAAAAAAAGACTACATTATTTTTAAATATTGTTTTCTAAGGAAAATATTGCCTCTAACATTTTGTAATACTCTGCGCAAGATCGAACATGCAGCGAGTGCCCGTTACCCTTACCAGCCTCTGCGCATGCTTTGAATGAAGAGAGAATAAAATTATTTTAATGGGGAGTTGAATTTCCTACCGCTCAGCTTTTCCATTTCAAACCCTAGTAGTGGTAGCCCTAATAAAGAGTGTGCTAGTATAAAATGGCACCCAATTTTTTTTTTCTTATGTTTAGGGGCGATTCTTTTTCATATTCGAATTAGATATCAGGTATTCGTTGGCCTCTTTAAATATTTACCTTGTCCTACCTGTCGCCCTGTATACAATATCTTTGTTGGTTAAAATATTTTTTAAATTAGGGATAAGACAATGTGTGCTTAAAATGAAGAAATTGCGAGTTCGAAACTTAAAAATTTATTTATATTACCAAAAACGGGAAACGATAACAAATTATATTATGTACTCTTGTACTGGTCAACTGATCAGTTAGTTTGTGCAACACTTAAAGTTTTGTGTCTAACTTATTTGAGTATGTGTTGTATGTTTTCAGGCCCGGCTTCATCATTTTTCTTTTTTCTTTCACCAAGTCATAGTACAACTGTAAATATTGGTAATATAGACAGGTAATTTATTCACTAATCGCATCTGGCTTAACAGAAAATGTGGCTAAAGATTTGTTAGTCCAGACTTCTTCATGATACTTAATTTTTTCTTCAAGCCATGCCTTAAATGTGTAGGAGGGAACTATATCAGCAATTCTTTTACTGTACGTATCGTTAGAAAACATTTGTTTGGTGCATTCTTCTTGACCTTTATTCACTATACCGACCAATTCATTGTCTAATATTACTGGACCTCCAGTATCTCTGAAACACGTTGGAACTTTCGTATCCATACAGTCAAAGTAGCCCGTTAAGCCCTCTAAATCTTCAACTGGTTGCTTTAGTTCCATGCCGATGTATTGCAGCACTTTCGGTTTGCCAGTGTCGGCGTTAAGACCGTAACCAACAGCTTCCAAACCTTTAATGTCGTACACAGTTTTATAGGTACAATTACTGATACGGATATTCGAACAAATGGTACCGTTATAATATTCAGTGTATATAAGACCAATATCTAATTGTGATCTAAAGCCGATGAAACAAGGAAACATTTCTGTTCTGTTGATTTGTAACTTAACAGTAGTATCATCAAATTTATCACTGGTTGCATTTAAGAGCACATACTTCCTATATGAGTTAGCGCAAGTTGAAGTTGTTAGAATCAATCCTTTTGAGACTACGACCCCAGAGCATAAGTACTCATCTTGGTGTGATATTACGGCTGCCATAAAGGGGAACTGTGTATACGTGGCAGTCCTTATTTCATGTAATTGGTTACTTCGCATCTTTACACAGCTCGGATTAGAATTATCATCTTTTGTAGGCAAATCGATTTCTTCATCCTCAGGTTCGTCGTTGATATCAACGATGTCATCTCTACCTTCATCGATTTCACCGGTGCTGACACTTACGATACTAAACAAAATCACCACGAAAAGAAAATCTGCTTTATTTTTCATTGTAAATAATAAATTAACTAAATTTTTTTTGTGCCAGAAGGAATTAAAACACTATAATTTTTTTTAACGTTATCGGCTACTATTACATAATACTCTCATCTATGACTACTATTGTTTTATTCTTTTTTGTATATTTCAATTTATTTGTATGTGTCACGTCAAACTTCTAAGTGGCCAATAAATTCATGTGTCCATTATTGAGACTTTTTCTTTCAGAAATAGAAGAACAAGGGTTCAAAGTCTATTGCCATTGACTTACAATTACATGGACGTCGGGTCCGTGCTAAAAAGTGTCCGAACTTATAGGGCGTTAAAATCGTATACAGAGCGTCATTCACGCTTTAGTCTTCGTTTGTTCGACAGACAGCGAAGCAAGCAAAATTAGACAGAACTGCGATGGCATTACAATTTAAACTCAACGTTTTAGCTTTTTCATATTCCTTTACATGTCACTACGTTTAAATAACTAAAAATAGTCAACCGACTTGGGACATTTTTTTCGTGGTTTTTGTATTAGACCCGTCGTCCATTTATTTGTAAGTCGATGTCTATTGCTCATAGATGCAATCAACATATACGGGGATTTATTTGAGCCATCAGTCCATCCAGTCATGTCATCTTCATATCATTACTAAATTATTTTGCATCACTCACATAATCCCATATTTGGTTTTTTTTTTAGAATTAGAAATACTGTAAACGAAGCACCAGTGATCGTAAACAATTTTCTTCAGACAAGAAACTAAAGTAAATAAACGATTTTTTTTTTATATCTTCTCCCCCATTTATTTGGGTAGGCTCCACAATACAGCCTCTTCATATATTAGTATCTTTCCTTGTTTTAACAGAAAAGGCGAGAAGCGACAGTTCTCATAATAATATATTTTATTATTATTTACAAATGTCACTATACCTTGTTATTACCCTATAAACATTTTTCGTTCAATGTTTAAAATCTCTGTTTCTTGAAGTTTTTTAGAGCGTAAATCTTCGGAATATATTGAAATTTGTGAAGATAAAAGGTTTATATTTAAACTTTGGTGAATATAAAATGGTGAAATGGTGGTAAAACCACAAAAAGCGTAACAATTATATAAATGTAGTAAATACGTTTAAGAATTTTATTTCACGGTATTTATTAAATTGCTTTGATTACAATGAAAGGACACCTTATTGAGCTGAAATTTCCTTCTGTCAAAAAAAAATGCTAAAAAACGAAGTATAGGTAACGATCGTATTTTATATCATCTGTGAGTATAGATATGTGTTTAAAAAATAAGGTACCTAAGCTTTTTATTTCAAAAAAATGGTTTTACGTTATCAGAATAAATACATCAAGCCTATAGTCTTTCTTACGTATATGTATAACAGATCATTGCATCAAGCCAAGTCTTCAATAATTTCTAATTGTTTTAAAATGCTGTATTTAAAATATATTTCATTAGAAGGTGTTTTCTTAAAATATGGCAAGTAACGGCTACTGACTTTTTAGTGAAACTTTTTTAAACAATCTCTTTATTTTCACTGCGAATGGTAACACTTTGTCATGTAACTTCTTTTTGATATCTCAGAAGTTTTGTTGATTAAAACTACAATTAAATATAGAGTGAAATTATTTATTTTACATTATATTATATGTAAACAGACTAACATTAAAGATAATTGTAACATTTTTATAATAATAAAACCGACCTCAAAAGTTCGTGGAATTACATATATTTGCAAAGTTTTATTGCCATCGGTTACCGGAAATTGCGCGAAAGCGGATTCCTCTCTTGATTTGCCACCCTTAGAAGTGGGATATTTTCTTCAAATTTAAATAAGACCAATACTGTCGTACACTCTTTGCAACAAAAAAAGAATCATCAAAGTCGGTTCACAAATGCCACTTACGCAGTTATCCCGTAACGTACAAAAAAAACAAAAATGGACATGTCAAATGGACAACCTCCTCCTTTTTTGAAGTCGGTTAAAAAGATTTTTTTTTATTAATCAAACAAACGAATGTTTACGGCGCGGGGAGAGGATTAATCTAATGACAAAAGAAAACTTATAGACAAACGTAGCACTTGTTCAAAGTCAAGTAATTATTGTTTCGTAGGCATTGACTTACAATTATACAATGTTCGTAGGTAAGTAAATTACATTTCGTTAAAGTCTACTGCTCATTCGTAAGGCAAATTCCCCTGAAAAAAATGAGCATGATACTCCACGGGTTGCTCTAACATTACATCATCGCTTAAATGCTGAACCGCCGCATCACAAAAAATTTCAAAAATGTGTTTAAAAACGGTGAAACTTTAACACTACACGAAGACACCTAGCGATTTGATATTATAAACAACGGAATTACGCAAATGCCTGTTTGGCATTCTGCATTTTCGTGGCTAACTTTTGAGCTAAACAGTCCTTTTATGAGTTGTGTCTGTGTTTACAAATTTGTAGAGCCTTAAAATACGCATCTTTAGTGTATAAATACATGGATATTTAAAAATAAAACATATTAAAATGAGGTTGAAAACTTTAATCGCCTCTTCTGTAAAAAAGTGAACCTTTGACATGCGGCCGTTTAGCATTTAAGCGACGATATAATATTTATTTTTCAACAATATAGACCGACACAACCTGCAACAACTAAACTAATATATAAAAATTTTATTCCACTATAGTTTTAAACCTCTAAATATTAATTTCTTTACACTTTATCTCTCAAAAAAATTCTAGGTCCCAGGCAGTGGAATCCAGCCCAATGAACTTATATCTGTATACTAGCGCTGTGGCCAGATCAAGGCGATATTTATAACGAGCACAAAACTAAACTTCTATTTCTTATCATACTGAGTATACGGGCAAACGAATTTGCATTTTCAATTTAAATAATTCCGTACTGTGCTGGAACCAAGGAAGTTTAAATTCTGGTAAAATTTTCATAATTTTTTATGTATGCAAAAACAAAATTTCTACTCGCACTGAGAGAAAAAAGAGGTTATTTTCGGCCACGGATAGTCAGTCCAGAATCAATCAATCAACCAAATCAAGAATTTGACCTAATCGTTCAATTTGTTTAGTAAAACGTTAAAAAACAAATACATGATTCAATCAAATTCTTAAAGGAAATTCTCAAATCAGTCAAGCGTCTCTTTCCGACGTTTATTGTTATTCACATTCACTTGAATCTATGAAATCTTTGAGTGTCAAATTCGCAGAGTGATATCAGATTTAAAGATAAGTCTCATCGCGGGTGATCATGGCCTCGATCGTGAGCTACAATGCCATTCTGAATCAAGGGCAAAGCTGTAAAGTATAAAGCAGGTATCAATGTAGAGATTGTTATACTTATAATAGTAGTTTATGTGACTGTTACATAACGAAAGGCATGAAAAGACGAGTGAGGGTTTATGAAACGAGCCGACAAGCGAGGTCATAAAAACATCACACAAGATTTTTTAATGCCTAGTTATGTACAGTTACATACACTGCTTTATCTACACACATATTATACCCAAGCAGCACACCCACACCTTAATATA